AAAAGGAAAAAGTTGAAAAGGCAAAAAGGTCAACAAAAAGCTGTATTCATAGAAATGCGGATAAATTGTCTGAGATAAGAGAAGAAACGTTTAGCGTTAATCAGTCTGTGACAGATTCACCATTCATACACACCACACTCAACGTAAAGCCGTTTAAATCCAGATATAACCTAAGCAATGGACTTTTGAAAGGTTACTGATCTATCAAAGCAGCCCCTTTACCCTCGCAGACGAATGTTATACCAATTTCCATACTCCCGAGAGATGGAGGATTTGGTGACTCCATGAACAACAGTCGCGCTGTCAATTGTGGGGCACCTCTAAGCATTGCACTATACGTCTCCTTTCTTTGCCACGTAGCCGTTTTTTTCTTCTTCGTTAACTCTCCTAATTAATGGGCATTCAACGCTTAGCGTTTGTCTAAGTCCTTAAGTTTAAAGTTTTTTTCATAGTCTTTACAGTCCTTCCCTCCAATGGATTGAACTGACTTCCTAGGAAAAAGTTGGAAAAATCTCTAGAGAAAGGTTCTTTTTCGTGGTTTTATGGTATTTGGGTGAATGCCAATGCTAATTATAAATTTACGCCATATTCACTAATATGAGCTTTTCCTATTTTTAATTATAGAATTTTGTCATTCTGCCGTTGCTGCCTGGGTTTTTCATGTTTTCATTGTGTCTTCAGAGGCTACTGTGACATGAAAGCCAGAGCAGCTATGCTAAGCGGAGAGTACGGGCACAACATAGGTTTGAAACACAACCACATTGCATTAGAAGAATTAATTCATCATTGGAAATCCACGAATCAAATGGAACGCCATCAGAATGCAAAATTCTGCCTGCAAATTCTGAAGCACGTAATGAACATTCTCTTCATGAACATGAGAAATTAAGGTGTAAACTGCATTTATGAACCATTTTTGAAGAGTTTTTTTGTCTTTATTGCAAAACAATTGCTACTGGCGTTGAAGGCGAAGTGAAGATATAATCATGAGCGACACCAAGTCGTAAACAGTTTTGATCAGTATTTAACAAGATGTCAAGTTTCGGTAAGGAATAGGACTTTTCAGAACCTACGACGTTGCTTTGTAAATAATTCCAGTTTGCTTAAATAGTAAGTCGAAAGGATAAATACCAGATTTTGCCGTTGTTTGTCTTAACATTTATAACTTGAATGTGCTCAACATGCAAAAAATCATCCAGGCTGAAATCCGCGTAACGCGCTGTATGGACACTATAGGGTCCATAGCGTTGGACGAGACGGTTATGTGGACACCAGAGTGTCCATATTGAGTTTAGTGGGCTCGAGGGTTTTTTCGCCGTACTATTTATGTTCACTCGACTGGTGGTGACACCAGAGAAGCCGTCCGCTACACTTAATGATTTACTAAAAACTTATTTGCGATGAGGTTCATTGGTCAGTAATTTGGTTAACAATTAATTGTCACTTCATGTGAGTCGCTGTGGTGTTTGTATAGAATTCTTGGTTATGAAAATGTCAAAATAAACTCAAAATTAATTGAAAAATACGTCGAAATGAATGCTGAGGGCAATGCATTTGCAGTGTGGACCATAGCAACACATAGTAAATAGTAGAATACAGATGCTTCGTATTCATACAGCGTTGGCGCAAAGTCTCTTCTACCACGTCACGTTAAAACGCCTTAAGTCCTCGGTTTATTTAGAGTAAGTTTTTTTATTGCCTTAAAGCTATAAAGTCCGTAGCCAACGAAAAATTTCGCGTAGTCCGTTGCGTCAGTCATGCAATGCGGTAATTGGAGCAGAATGGGTGAAGGTTTATGGTGGAACTAAAATGCATACGGTAAACAAAAATTCCTCGAGTTGCTTGTTTCCTAGGATATCGAAACTATCCAGTATTAGCAGCGAAACTGTGAGTGGTGTAGAGTCGTACATAATTCCATTCATGGTTCTGATAGACTGAATGCATCCCTAAAAGACCATCTATGACTTACACCTCGATCTTGGGAACGTAAAAATCTTCTCGACAGTCCTTTCATTTATTCTGTCTATACTGTCAAGTTGGTGAAAACTGTTATAAATATAGTATCAGCAAATAGTCCTTAAAAACTTACCGTATTACTGTTTCGTTTGCTAAAAAAAGAGCGTGTCTGGCGCAGTGGTCGCACGCGTCCTTCAACACACGCAAAATTGGTTCCCATGCCCATGGCCCACCGAGTTCTCCATCCCTCCGGGGTCGGCAAATTGTCTTTGTCTGGGAGATTAGCAGCACTGGCCCGGTACATCGGTAGGCCACCGCAACTCATTGTAAAGGGCAGATATGCATTCAATCACCTCCAACGATGCTTATTGAAGTCGAATGCAAGCGCAGCCCTCAGGGATTGATCAACACCGAGAGCTTTATTTTTTTATGCTAAAAGCGAGTCATTTCTCCGCATATTAAGACACAAAAGCATTCAGCGTTTAGCAATCCTTTCTTTGCTTTGAAAGTTGCGCCATTTATTATATTTTATCAAGCAGATGTGACCGGAAGAGATTTTTCACCCATACTGTCACTTGCAGGTTTCCTTACTCCCATCACCATGAGGAATACATGATTGGAGATATGAGAGACCAGCGCAGTTGTGCTTCTTTAAAGCTGAGAAAATCCATACGCTTGACATCGACAACTTCTATTAATATTTATTTTACCACTTAACTGTTGAGATCTTTTCTGTGATCATGAAACTGCTCAACTCTGTCGCACCCTACAGCGTTAACAGTTCCCTGGGAAAGGGAGAACTTTCGTCGCAAGCGTTTTGTCTAGCAGATCCTACTATAACGACCATGTTTATACGTAAGTGACTGAAGCAATTCAAGCACATGATACTGCTTGTGTATCGGGCTTGATTTCTGAGGAATTTGTCAAGTTGATGGGCGAAGAACGCACACTGCTTGACAATGTCAGGACTCTAAGAAGAGAAAAATATCAGGCAGGTGAAGCGATGAAGCGATCATTGACTGCGGTCCATCTATGCGAAGAAGCGAAGAAGAGCTTTAAAACTGTTATTTCCTAAAACAACGCTTATCAAGCCGCATTTATTGATAACGTTCTATACGCGCCCAATAGAATGTGAAATGAACCAACTGGCTATCTGTATCTGATTCTGTGATACGTAGAAAGAAAGAATTGAGCTGCATGATAAGCCTACTACAACGTTATTTAACAGTGTATATCCCCAACCGTCTTGATCCTTCTATTTCTTTAATGACATAGTTAATTGAGTATTGCAAAAAATGCCTATTACATCAGCTGTATCTGATGCGGTTTACAGCAGTTTGAAAGCAACTTTTTCCACCACGTGAACGATGGTTTCTAGCTTAGCTGTCCTTCAACGTTCAGGGTTAGCATTGTCACATTACAACTGATGTGTAACATTTGGCCTATGAATAGAGAAGGTATCTGTGTAAGCTCCTGATGTGACATTATGTGGAATTAATATAGCACAGACTTCAACAAAATGTTCATTTAGATAAATCCTTAAACACTTCTCTAAATACGCAAATAAGGATTTCGAGTTAGTGAGATTTTATTTTAATCGGCCATCCTATCCGCCCTGTATAAAAGAGAATCACTGAGTGAAGTTCTTCATTCGAGCGGTGCTCCTTCCACTGGGTCCAACTCGATGAGACAAAGAGTACCGATTTCACGACAACAACAGGATGCAGACCATCGACTCGGGTCCATCCGACTCTAAAGAAGGCGAAGGCGCCGAAAGTTTAGCCGAATAAGAGTTTTATAACAACCTGGTGTTAGCTCAATCATGTAAAAGATTAGTCAGACTTTAGTCTCTGAAGGATTGATGGGAATATGTTAAGAAATTTGTACACTTCATTAGTGTCATTGCTCAGATCTAAGTCAGTCAGAATGTGAATGGCTTCATTCAGTGATACATTGTATATCGTTCTTATTGTCATGTGGTATGGTTTGATATGACAAAAATAGGAAATCCTTTGGGAAACTATAAAAAGCTAGCTGGATAGCACGGGCGTTAAAACCTAGACCGTTGACATATCGCAGCGCACACCCCCTGAGCCCGTTTGGCGCTTCTCGTCATCGCCACAAAAAATTTACTGGGTTGCAAACTTTTAATCAAATGCCAGGAGTAATTTTATGACATTAATCTGCTTCAGTTTAATTCATTGTGTGCTATTAACATTTACATTCCACCCTTCGGCTATCACTAACAGATATGGCATTAGGGTAGAAAATTCAAATTGGAAAAAAATCAAGAAGTCATCGGTTAAACTGAATTCACCGAGAGTCCAACTGTATTGAGCTATATGGTACTCTGAATGAGGATTCTGTGAATACCTTCATTAGTCATAAACATCTAAAAGCGAAGGAACAGCTTACATTTATGCCGGAACACTCCTGTGAGAAACAGTTCTACCTAACACATTTGCCCCAATGTTAGATTTCCCACAACTGTCAATAATAAAAAAAGGTTAAAACTATTGCCGCCGATATCAATGACTCATTCCCAAGCACCATCGTATCCTGCCACTTATATTCTAAGTTTTCTCGTTAGTTAAGAAAGTTCACGAATGCACTGACATTAGTCCATACCTAGCAGGTGTCTTAAAGACTTCAGGCGAATCTCCAAGATTAGCGGAATGCTTTTTTTACCTACGTACTCCGTATACTTCTTTTACCGTCTGTCATTTACGTTTATGTATTATGGAAATTCCATGTGAAAATTGTCATTGACAATAACTATAGTTGACTGTTTTGCGTAAAGAGAATTATTGATAAGTGAATGCATAGGCTGAAAGAAATTGGGTCCTCGGATAATGACTATGTTCTTTTCGAAAAAATCCAAATCAGGAACAATACTTTGTGGTCGAGTGTTGGATAGTCGTTGAACCTCCAGTTACAGGTTCCACCTTCGTTCGAGTTCGTCCGAAAATCCACGCTTACTCCAGCGTAACTCTACCGAACGAGACTAAGTTCCAGCAAACATCCGACGGCGAGTGGGCGCGGCGATGTTCTCAGTAGTTCGACTTCGCTCGCAGCGTTCGGCGTGTCGCATGAAGAAGACGTACAGCGAACGGCAGCGTAATCTCGAGAGGTACGCACAATTCGAAAAATTGTCATTGTTTTCCTCTACTTTTCCTTATAGCTGAAAGTTGAATGGGATCACAAAGAAAGCTAAGAAATTAATCGAAGCTGTAGATTGAAGTGGCTATAGATGCAGGTAGCAGAGTGATTATAGATGTCATCCAATACACACGAGGTCAATGGTTCGATCTTGAACTCGTGCACTCGTGCTCACCAAGCATTCCATCCGTCCGAGGTCGACAAATTCGTATCCGGCTCGACTTTTCTGAGAGGACAGACACTGACTTGATACAGTGGTGCGCTGCCGCAATCTATTATGTGGGCCAGATATGCATTTAGTTATCTCTACATTGTTGGCAAAAGCGACGCGACAGAGTGGAGCATCCTTCAGGGATTAATGAACGCCGTGCGTTTTATGCTTTGTCTTTCTAATGGCGAACGACACACGCGCAAGAGCGGAGACTTCATGGTTCATAGTGGAAAGAGTGCTCCGGGAAGAAATGAAGAGATATACACGAAATTCCTTTTTTAGTGTAAAATTTGTTGCGAATCGGTGCTAGAAGTTGGTTATTTTTATCTGGTGTCTCCATGTTTCATTGTTTTTATATTTTTGTAGCTACAGTTTTTAGTCATGTGACAGCCGAAGTGGACAGGTTATACGCTTCATTAGTCACTGTTTGGACATTTTAAAACTACTAGTTTCAGTGCAAAATGAACTTCCTTCTGTCTTAGCCTGTTTCATTATTTATTTCGATTTGGTAGGGAATGCTGAAAAGGGTGGTAATGGACATGAGTGGAAAGACGGAGAGGACGGCACTTAGCAAATTAATTTTTGCATTCTAAGGATTTGCCGTGTCACTCTTCCGAGCAATTATTTCTGGATATTTTGAATTGTGTTGTACAGTGCAGATGTTTGCATCAATATTACTCTTCTTCCTAAAAAAGGATTCGACTTCTCTGATAAAGCAATCATCATCTACGAACAAACCAGCACTGGAAGGCTTCTTATCAAGGAGTTGATAAATTGTAATAGTTTGATAGTGAACATCAGTCTCAGATGCCAAACGAGTAGTTGCTCATGCCAAGGAACTGGAATTACCATATTCCAGCTGGTTGAGAACCCTGAGGGTCGAACAAAGGAGGTATTCTGGGCACCATATAAGGCATGAAGACGAACAAATATCTGTTTCAATAATAAACTCAATGCTGTAAGTGGAGAATTAGTGTCATAGTGCTACTATGGATGAACTGCCTTTTTATTTTCACAGATTAGTTTCTAATGTTTCACGAACTCTATTTTTTTAAGCTGACGCGATGTTATTAACACGTATTGTGGCTCGATGGCTAGCATTTCGACGGCATGACATCCCTAAGAACTTACATTGCCATATTTTTACTAATCGGAGAGCGTTTTTTTGTTTTAATAGAAACCTAATTCATAAGCCACATCAATTATCTGTTAGAAGGGATTCACCGTTCTTTTTTGCAAGGTATGAGACTATGAACGAAAATGTTATGCCATGGAGATGCTCATCGGCAAGTTCACTTTGGATTCTGTTCTGGTTGCATTCATAGAATTATGCCGTGCGGAACTAAGAAGACCTTCTCCGTAAACTTCGATACATTTCCATTGTCCTCGTTTACGTTCTGAATATACCTGAGCCTCATTCATTCACCATCAACCGCTCTTTATAGGGCCCCAAATTTGGATATCTACGCTGTCCATTATTCGCAATTTAAATAACTTTATATCAACGGTTTGTTAGATTGGTTAACTTACACGAAGCTATTATGAAAACTTTATTCGGCTAACATTTAGGTGTCTCCATTGTTTTCGGAACCGCTGTGATTCGGGTCAATAGTCCACACCCGTTCGTCCTCACGGCGTGGCTGCTCACTTGACAGAGTCCTACAGATGACGATCGCTGCTCTATTGCTATTTAATATGATTTGCCTTCATAGTGGCAATGTATCCTGCAGCAATCGCTGTTATACTGAATGGCTGGCATTTATTGTGGCAATATTTTAGAGAATTTTTATAACAACCTCTTGGACGCCTAACAATCCACAAAGGTTTTGAGCATTCTTGCCGATCCTGAATGGATTTCGATTTTAAAATATTAAAGGTTGGTGAAAATTAGCGTGGTCTAATTCTGGTCTAATTCTACCCAATCTCTCGAAGTTTTCTCCTACTTGTCCGTAGATACGACTATAATTTGAACGGGAATGAACTGAATGCACATCGATCGGCACAAATTCTTAACAAGACGAAGTTTGTTCTTACTGAATTTCCTTTTTTTTTAATTCTGTGCACCTTTCTCGTCATTTCTTCGAGAAATGTCCTTGCTCACATGAATGGCAGTTGTTCTGTTCTAAGGTGGTGTTCGCTGATGAAAGCACTGAACATCGTCAAGTGTTCGTCCACATAAGAACTCCTATTGTCGTTGTCACTGTTTTGGATGTAGACAAGCACTAAGAGCTGCGTCGCATTTTTACCCACAGAGATCTAATTTCATGTTTCGGTCATCTCTCTTACGACGAATTACTATCACTCAATCAGCATCTCATGTGAAAATAACAATTAAGGTCAGATTTATAGCTGAATGCATTTCTGTCGTTCTTATCTCGTAACGAATTTCTAATATCTCGCCTTACTTCGTCGTCGATGTCAGTTAAACAACAGCGAGAAACCTCCGTTTGTAAATAAGTCTAGAAATCTTGTATATGTTATGGAAGGTCATTCATTCTAGAAGCCTCTCTCGACATTGTAACAGATGAACAATGCAACAGATAGCCATTTGGTTGTAAAGGACTAGCTGTTTCGTCTTCACACCGAACCCTACCACTAACTTCTCGTTGTCAGCGAGGAATCTAAGAAATCTTCATTGTCGAGAGAGATGTGTATAATGGACATCTCCTGAAGCCACCGTACAAATCAAATCCTTCAATTTCTAGTTGTTGCTTTATCTTCTTTAATTAATATTTATAAGAAATGAGACAGGAACGCGTGTGGCGCAGTGATTGGAAGCGCCCTGCAACCCACACGTGGAATCGTTCCCCGCGCCTATGGCCCACCAAGCCCTCCATCCCTCTGGAGTCGACAGATTGGTACCAGACTTATCTAGGAGGATAGCAGCACTGGCTCGATAGAACGGTGGGTCACCGCTAGTCATTGCAAATTCAATTCATGCTTTCAATCACCTCCAAACGATGCTTAACGAAGTCGATTGCATGGCGCATACCTCAGGCATTGATCGACGCCGAGAGCTTTATCCTTTATCATTTAAGAAATGAGATTATTTGACGAATTCACTCCAAGAGCAAGGTTAAATTAAGGCGCATCCGTTGAGAACATTGATCCGATATGTGAATTCTCATTAACTACTTATAAAATGGTACGTTTGAACTTCCACGTTGCTCAAAACAGTCCAAACACATTCTATTGTATCCTGAAACTTTGCCTGTATCGTGTTTGTTTTCGATTCTATGAAATCTATCCTTCAGAAGGAGATATTAGGTCTGCGCACACCGTCATGGAAATAAAATCCCGAATCGAAGTGGTAGACAGATGAAAATAGGCTATGCGCATTCATTTTTCTCTTAGTTTTTGGCCTCGCTTATCTTCATGGCATGACTGAGCTGACATCTCTTGTAAAGATATTAGAGCTCCCATTTGTTGTAAGGATATCCTAAATCCAGACCTTTATCGATCTTCCTCATTGGTAATCAATTCTTTAGTTTTTTGATGAGCTTATCCAAGTTTGTTATGAGTCTATATCGTGACTATCGATTCGGCTATAGCACCTCCTTAAGCAGTTCTTTCTTTTTGCTACATGGGCCTTTCCAGTTGACATATACGGAGCATTGCACGAATAAAGTGGGCTCACACAATACTGTCATCCCAGAACTGTTCTTAGACCTCGTCGTTCAGTCTCCCAGGATACGTGACGTTTCCTGGTCGATTGCCCACCAAAAGTGTCTTTATGGTGACAATCTAATACTACAACACCAAGAGTAGTATCAGCTGGCATGCAGGAAAACAACATTTTCAACACCGATGTTCATTTAACCTCGGCATGGATGGTCAATATCTCGGTTTTATTTACGATTCAGGAGAAGGCAATGATGCGTATCGCACAATAAGCTTGTCATGATGATATTGGTTAACCATATCAAGGCAAAATCAAAATCAGTACTCGATGTACTTTTTGAAACGAGAAAGTAGCTCTGTCCGTATCTAGGATACCACCAAGTAATTGTAGCACTAGGTCGATCCTAGCAAATCTGCTTTACAAAGCATCCCTCGCTTGCCAAAGAATGCTCAGTATTAGTTATAGGTGTCCGGAATTTGCTACCTAGTATATCTCTCAGCGTTATCATGAAAATACACTGCACTGAATCACTTTTAACAATTCACATTTAGCTGCTAGTTTTCTCCATAACTTGTTCTTTCTTTTTTTCTCCTTTTGTTGATTTAGGCATGATATATCCGATTGACTGGGAATTTGATTGATGTAGGGTATTCCTTCGCCAACCTGGTGTTGCTTTTGTTTTCACTCTGTGTAACTTCGTGCTTAGAGTTCCGGTAACGGAATATGCTACAACGAAAATAATTGGTTCTACTTATGCAACAATGCCTTTCAATTCTGAATTGCGTTGATATCTGTAGGGATAATATCAGGTAATTGTTCCAGGAATTGTCTTTGATCCACTTGAAATTCAACTACGAGACATCAAACATCTCTCTCTATTCCTAGTGACTTCTTTGCGTGTTCCTCATTGCTTCAATGAACGACATAAAAAGGCTCTTCATAAAGCTATTCCGCATGAAAGTTAACCGTTGTTAAACAGATATTAATCCAACAACATCGTACGTATAGCAAGATTAAGAACGCCGTGCTCTCTGTGTATTCTGTGCGACAGCCAGCTGCTTCCCTTACTGAAGGAGAACTCTTATTGCAGGGCTTCACAAGGTTCTTGTTGTGGACGTTTGTCATACCAAAGCAAAGAAGAAATTGCGATAAGATTTTTGAAATTCATGTATCAATCTGAGATTTCCTTGAGGAATTCGTTGCAAACGGACCCAGACACTGCCAGTGTTTATTTCTACTGCACCACAAGCATAGCTCACATCATTTATTTCAACTTGACAAGAAACATTCCAACACTTTTATATGCGATAGTATTATGGATGAATGGGCGTAGATACCTTCTTGGATTACTAAGCAAGCACGAGGTTGATGAAAAGGTTGTTCGGCTAAGGTTTCGACGTCTTCGTCTTCTTCAGAGCTGAATTGAGTCGAATAGACGATCCATACATGGTCGTCCATACATGGATACATATGTGTGTTAGTTGTTGCATCGAATCGAATCGATTGAGGTAGAGAACCGCCCGAATTCTAAATTTCGAATCGAAGTTAGAGAATGAAATTTTATTTTATCAGTGCTCCACTTCAGGCGATTTTACTCGGTGCGACAACGGACAACCACATCGTGAGAACGAACACATTTGGGACATCAACTGGGAACAATCTGACACTGAAGAAGACGAAAGCATTAAAGCGTTGACCGAATAAACTTTCTTATTGACCTCATATTAGCTTAATAATCCAAGAAGGTGCAGATTACTAATGCTAAGGTTAAATGACGCTCAGTTTAAAAATACTGATTCACTATGATTTTAGACACCTTGATAATTGGAAGCTCATTGTTAGGAGTAGTGCTGAGCCCAGCAACACGTTTTCCTTTCATTTGTTTGCTTCAAAATTGTCGTCCAAAGCACTGATCTGCCACGAGTATTGTGCGTATGCTAATATCATACCTGATGTATATGACATCTGCAGATGTGAATCTTGCAGACGGTCGTCCAAGTGGGCTCCTGCGTGTTACACTCCATTCCACTGTTCTTTTCATCTATCTTTCGTCTGTACTTCTTTATATGACTGGCTCATTTATGTTTCACTATCGATGTGCAATCTCCTGGATCTTAAAGAAAGCATACCTTTTGAAGCTCAGAGCTGCAGAGCTCAGTTAGATTTTATGGCTATAGTAAACATCTCTCAATCGAACGTTCTAAGTGTGGCGGGTAGCATTCTTTACGTGAATGAATTATCATCCCATCTCTTTCCTAGATAGAAAAGCAATGAGCCGTAGAGTCAAAAGAGGGGAACAGAATTTTGGGCCTGTTAGATGTGTTATGGGTGGTTTTTCTGTGAACGCCAAACGGTTGCTCTCCTTATTGCGTGTAATTCCTGGTTCACGTCATTCACAGAATGCCGTAGGTGCACGTAGAATGTGTTCTTTCTATCTCAGAATTATTAAGTTCGATTTGATGACAACACGAGAATTTTATTGTGACGATAGTTAAATGTAATCCTACATTAATCGACAATAGTCTGAATCTCATCCAACTTTCAGACACTTCGGTCCGCACTGTCCGACGAATAACAAATTTCTCCGATCCATCTACTGGGCTCTCCGCGGGTTCCAATACTGGCTATGTTTCTATGATGACGGTACGTGAAGCTTCTTCTCCGTCTTTAATAGGTTTTCGATATCAAGAAGAGTAAGCCGTGGTATTGGTACGGTCATCATGTCACTCAATTTAGACTAGGTAAGTTTAGTATTTGAATCAGGCGGAGGAGAAAAAAAGGCTAAGAAACTGAACCGAAAATCGATGAGTAAAAAATACGCATGTTGTGTTTTCAATCTGTTTCGATACAACAGGGCATAGATATGGATGAAAGGTGCACAAGCAGAATATACACTTTTATTACCATGAATATTTTTAATAATCAACTTCTTCATCCGTTTTCGTGAGACCCTGGGACTTGTGCTTCCTTTCACACGGGCAACAAGGCCATCCCAGTTTACGAGTTTTGAGTTGAACTGAATTCATGCGTGTTAGCTTTTTATTCTTTGCCTATTATGATTTTTCAAGGCAGGGTATGATGTGAATTACAACCACAACGATGCTTAAATATCCATAAAACTTAGCTTAAATGAGTTCAATGGCGATTTGTTCCTCCCAGGTCAATCCCGCTGACAGGTGATTGCTGATGGCAGTGTAAGGTAGAAAACTAGCCGAGAGAAACGCAGATCAAAGGGCTCCGTGGAGCAGTGTGTAGCGTGTGGGCACCTGATAAGGAAAATCGTGGTTCGATCCGGCCGGGGGTCCAAGTTTTGTGAATATCTCAACATCGCTGTTGTTGAATTCATGGGGTTTTAAACTCTCAGCATTTCCAGCACTTTTAAATATCATTCTTGAGTTCATACATGCCTTCGTTATTATATCTATCCCTGAAGAGGCCTCCAAATGACAACTCTAGCGATAGAAGGGTCCCGTTTATGCTACCCTTTATCTCAAATGATATAAGTACAGCTATAAAACGCTGCTTAAGAAGGACGGGTTTAGAGAATTCGGTAAACGTAGTTGAAATACCACCGAGTAATCTTAAGCGCCAGCTAGTTAGTAACCGCCTATATGACCGTCTATGTGCAACTCAAAATTGCATAATTTGCCCCAGTGGTAGAGACGGTGATTGCATGAGCTCGGGTATAGTTTATCTGATCTCCTGTAAGACGTGTGGTGACGAATACATTGGCGAAACGGGTAGACCCCTCTGTGTCCGCATGAAAGAACACCTAGCCGGCAAAAATAGACCAAATACCCCGCTAGGCACGCATAGGACCCAGAGACATAACGGGGACGACTTCGAAGTATGTGTCACGATCCTCGCACGCGAATCAAGAACACAGGCGCGAAAAACTCTCGAGGCACTCTGGATTAATTCCAGAAATCCGAAAATGAACCGCAGGGAAGAATGCCTCATTATCACGCGTGATACAGGGCAGTATATAAAACTGCTTTTCTGATTTGAGGGGCACATTATACTTCCACGTGATTTCTGTGCGGTTGGTCTCTACGTGACATACTTAGTGGAAACCTCATAGAAAGCGGTGAGTGTGCAAAGCTGTGTTCAAAGTGATTGAAATCTTGGTTTGGAGTTTCTTTGTTCGGTTATGGAGGCGTCTGGCCGAGTGGATTGCTATCAACTTGACCTTTCCAGACTCTGAGGAAGGCGAAATCCGCCGAAACGTCAGCTCATTCGTGAATAAAGAATAATAACACCTCGCGTTTGCTCAACAAAATTACGAAGAATCCTCCCTAAAGAAATCACGAAAGAGATGTCAAACAGAAGGAATTATTAAACGATGGGAGCTCCGTGTAATATTATAGCACACTTTTGCTTTCAATGAAAAAAGTCTGATGTCCTAATTTTGTCTATTGCTGACGTAAATCAACATGATCTGCCTAAAAGAATAGTACTGTAATAAGGACTCAGAAATCGATCACAATGTGTTACCAAAGTTATTAGGTGTGTAAAAAAAAAACTTAAGCAAATATGACCTTGATATCCTGAGGCACTGTAGGAGAAACCCTTGTCCTTCTCCTGATCTCTTGCTTTCTTCCATTTTTCGCCGTCCTATTTCTCAAATGATGATGTTCAGAAGTTGAAATCGAGGTGGAAGATTTGCTGTCCAATCCATTCAACACACAGCCGCCCTCGTTAGAGAGTCTACAGCAACGCACTGGCTTCAACAGGACGTGGCTGATGTTCATGTACCGAAATTTCAAACAAGTACGCACAAAATGCTGTTAGCTCATCCGAGAGTCGAACCTTGGGTGATTTTCAGAAGTGCTCAAATGGTCGTATGACAAAAGCTGAATGGCGGTCGATCTTTCGGTCGCTTTTTCCATATGCAATCAATTATCAGTTCGCTGATCGGCTTTACACAGCAATCACAAGCATTCGGGGGCATTTGCACATCACCTTTGAGGTACTTCGATAGATTTCAGTTCACTCATTATTCTTGCAATCATATTGATATACGTTAGTTTTCTAATAACTATTGCCTTTCTTATTCGACTATAGCCTTTCTTCTCACGGAAGCTCCTCATATGAGGTCGATCTGGTTAGCTAGTTAGCCTTTCTTTATCTACGCCACATGTTGGTCACCACCGGTATGCTTGCCTCGGGATGTGGACAAATTTATACCTAAGATGCTTCTTCATTTGTAATTTACTATAGTACATTCAGGTTCAGTTGCTAATATAAGAACTCTACAACCTTACGACTCCAACCTTATTTTATTTTTTTAAGGACTTGATCATCTGTTTGTGGGAGTTGACCGAGGGGGCCAACGGTTCCAACCAAAATCAGCGGCAACCAACTGACGTGTCGCACATTGCAACTTTTGTATTTGCAATTTTAGAACCTGATGTAAAGGTGAGTAATCCTACTTTTATCCACCAGGAGTATTCTATTTACAAGATCATCAATTGTCGGAGAACATAACCTCTTTATACATCCAGTTGAAAGAGCGGGGGTTACTGGGATACTTTTGTACAGAGCCCATATATTGACACTTGTTAATATTGACAGTCTACATAATTTTCTCTTTTTCACCAATTTTACCTCGGAACTCTATAGACCACTTCCGCCTCACCTGGGCTGATTGCAAACAATACACTGATATAATATTTTAGGGGTTAATGGTGCGTAAGATTTGGATTGCTTCCAGAATGTTCTGCTTCTCGTAATAGTCATTATGTAAACATTCCACAGAATTAATAATATTTGTAAAAGGACAAAACGATTCGATTATTTGAGACCTTATTTTTTTATTCAGAAAGTATTCAGAAAATAATTCCGAGGGAAATGCAAGTAGTAGGAGAGATGCTAGATTAGTACAATGGAGTCGCTCAGCTGATCCCAAAGAACTCCGATTCAGGGTCGTGTGGACGAGACGGGCTTCCGTAATTACGTACAAAGCGTCTTCGATCTCTACAACTTTACGAAAGAAGACAATACGGTCAATGTCGGCTTGCCAACGGCCAATCCTAATCGAAGAGTAAGCATGTCACCCAGCACATCCTCATTGTCGGAACCACTTTCGAGCTTCGAAATTCGAAGAATTGAATGTGCTTGATTCATTTCGTCGAATTTTTCTGTTCAGTTCATTCGGGAAGCCATCGCTTCTCGAATGCTGACCAAATTTTCTTATGTTTCTTAGAATGGGTAATTGATGGATTGTATCACTGGAAAATGTTCAGTTAAATTCTCGTTCTCAATCAAGTTTGGTATTTTTTTAATCTGTTTAATATTCTCCAAAATTGCATATAGTTACGTCTACGCTATTTGTTTTGAAAAGCCCGAGCTACTATCGAATTTCCTTGTATGTTTTTGAATAATACTAATTACGAATACTCAAATGGTCATCTGGTCTCTGTAAGATGCAATGGGAATTCCGTTATGGTAGACTCCACAGAAAGACGCCTATATTTTTCAGTATAATTTTTACTGCTAACTGTTCTATCGATATCACTGAACAGCAGATGTTCTTTTCCAAATACGTTTTCACTGAGTAATCACTTGCATCATTTGCCATTTCGTTGCTCAACGAGTGATTCAAGTGGCTACTAGTGATATCTTTATCGGTCCTTGTTCAGAGTTGCGGTTAGGTTCTTCTTGTAGGAAGTATACATGAATATCATACTTTTTTTCAGAGTTTTTGTGAAGAATTCCCACCGTCAAGTCGCTAGGTATTCTTGTTGAACACTTGTCCTTTAGGAGGATCCAGTGGCTGACAGCATTTGCGTAATTGTCGCTGATCGGACTACATTGATGCGTATCATACGTCATAATCTTCTGATTTTCGACAACTTTACCTCAGCAGCAGCAACTTTGGTCTTTGGTCGTACCCAGGGCTTTGAATTCAATGCGACATGCTCCTATCATCACCGTTATCACGTCCTTCAGTAACACTGACCACCCTTTTGTCGTCCTCCCACAAAGTCTGCTTTTTGAAGCTTACTTTGATACATAAAAGGTCTCAAGACCTACAACTTCGCACAGACAAGTTTCTTCTTTGCTTTCTTTATTATGTCTTCCGTGGCGCATGTGGCGCAGTCCTTGGAGGCGCCCTGCAATACACACAAGGGACCCATCCTCACGCCCGTGGCTCACCAAGTCTTCCATCCCTCCGGGGTTGGAAAATTGGTACCAGACTTGTCTGGCAGGATAGCGGCACTGGTTCGATACATCGGTAGGCCACCACGAGTCATTGTAAAGGCCAGATATGCATTCAGTCACCTCCAACGATTCTTAATGCAGTCGAATTCTTGGCGCATCTCCCAGGAATTGATCAACGCCGAGAGCTTTATCCTTCTTTTTTAACTACGTTTTTCAAGAGTATAGAACCAGTTGCTGGGCTCTGAAGCTAAGTTTCTCATCATTTTGCTTTCACTACATGTGCATAGTTAGGTCATCTAAAGTTTATTTGCTAGAGATCAGAACATCGTTGAGTAATTTGTTTTTATTGCGCGCCGTTCTCCTTATTTTCGGCCACAGGTCGATAGACCACATATGCTTCAAATTGGGATGGAAATAACTCGTTCTTTCTGATTAATTCTTGGTGTACGTCATCGGCAAAACGAAAACGATGTTGATGTAAGCCATGGACCCTATGATGCTATGACTCTCCCGTGATATTCTGGATAGTGAAGTTGAATAATTTCAACGGATCTATATCGCCTTAGCAAACCTCTCTCTACATCAAGAAATACTTCATTTTAGAACAAAGAAATTTTTGTTATTCAAATGCCGTTTAACTTATCAGGAAGGACTTTTGTGTAGTAAATAAGGATACCTTGATTACGCAACGGGTGTCAAGTTGACAACAACTAAGAAGGAGGCAATGCGGTCATTAACGGTGTTATGTAGGTTTGTCGTTTTCTTCAACAACGTGATGCTCATAATTGTTCATTGGCTACGAATTCTTTAGAGTCGATGATCTGGGTCGACGGCCTACAGTCGTCCGTCCTCTTGATGTAGTGTCTAGACGTGGGAGTCTCCGTCCACGTTCGGACGTTCGTTCCCAGAACTTAAGTGTCTGAATTTTTCGAATATCTCAGCATCACTGTGGTTGTATTTCACATAATATTTCACCGCGGAAAAAATAATGGGCGGTAAACAAAAGGTCATACATCGTAAATCCGAAAACTTACTAATTAATAATTCCGAGATTAGATAACAGTCGGTTTTGGAAATTTGGTGGTAGATACTTCCGATGTTCGATGCTGATCCTGTCGAAATGTATGCATCCATTTCTTCGTTCGCCTATAATACTTTCTAAGTTCGGAGAAAAGAATTGTTGGAAGCCACATTCGACATCTCTGAGGGTTCCAGTTTAGGAATTTCCGCAGACAGGTGTTTTTTTTTGTTAACATTGAGGCTTTCAATGTTTTTTCTTCAATAAGCAGACACGAGGTTGTTAATAGTTATCGCCCATGTATTATTCTGTGCGGCGGCTATCCATCAACTAACTTAAATACTTACAACAAATAAACGGCTCTGAAGAAGACGAAACCGCCGAAACGTCTGCTATTGTATTCTAATAAATTCTACATTAACAACCTCGTGTCTGCTTATTGAAGAAAAAACATTGAATTATCAATTAATGCCGAGGTTAACAGAAAGTCGGTCTTGGGAACATTGAGGCTGTTGAAAATCTTGAAACCTTTTTCTTGGCGTTATATCTAATATATTTGGTGTATCTACACTTTTCTTCCATAGTTCGATCCTATACCAAATGGGTGATAAAGACTTGACCTTGGTCAATTTTCTATACAAATGTTCATCACGGCTTTTCAAAACCAAAGTTTGTTTAACCTCGGTATTAATAGTACGTATTTTTAAGGTTGCCCACGCTAGACGGGGTCGCTATAAAATTTTTATTCGATGACAGTTTCCACGCTTTTATCTTCTTGAGAGCCGATTGATTCCAATTGATTCAGTAGATTTGTCATAACCTTCCTCCGTGAAATCCGTGCTTCCAACAACCTGAGAAGAACTTCTAGAATTTTCTGAAGCTGTGGACACTCTTAGCGCTGATCAATCCCTGAAGAATGCGTCATGCATTCGAATTCGTTGGACATCGTTTGGAGGTGATTGATTGCATATCTGGTCTACACAATGGCTGGCAGTTTGCAGGTGTATCAAGCCAGTACTGCTATCTTTCCAGACAACCATGGTTCCAGTGTGCCGACAAGTAGCGATAGAAAGCTTGGTGACCTTGATACTTCGGACCGAAGCAAAGACCGCAAGTATCTTGTCGGGCAATTCCAACCACTACGCTGCACGCTCTCTCCTAGAATTTCATACTTCCATAAAATTCGTCTGTTGCCATGATGAATTCAGACAGCTTCTCTCCGGTTCACTTCATTTCTGGACTTGGACTCCCTTGCGGGTTTGTCCAGAAATTCGTCTCAATTTGTTTTGTTGTCATTTTCACTGTAGCGGAATGTTGAGACAACGAAAATGGTTGAATCTTAAAAGTGCTGGCAAACCGGCCACCACATTTTTCAGCACCAAACATTTCACTCAGCATGTTAATTGTTTAGTGGAATTAATGTCACCACATTCATGTCGACGAAGACATCCATTCAGCCAGCTATTCTGCTGTGAGGTGCTTAAGCACAGTTTTCTTGTCTCAGTCGGTCCGTCGACATTCTTCTTGACCGCGTTAGGTTATCGGTAGAATCTTCCGATGCTACCATTTGTAAACTGTAAGTGATCATCCTGTTTTTGCAATTACACAACTATAAGGACGAGATATTAATTGCATTTTAAGCCTAGGTTTCTGAATTTGGGAAGAAGTGGTGAAGTGGAGTGACGTGACTTGGTAATATTATCATTCCTCAATTTCACAGCACTTTTTTATCCACTAACTTGTTCCATAGAAGGATCACTAAGTTCACTATATGGTTTCAAATGTGTATTCTCAGAGTA